AATGCTCTGGTCACAAAAGATCACACCTGCAATGCTTCTTAGCCATTTTCTCCTCAGAAACACTCTAGAAAAGTAAAGCAAATAACTAATGTGAAAGCTAGGATAGCTCACTGGTATTTCCATAATTCCCCTTCCTCTCCTTCCCATCTTAAAAGCATTGTTTTCATGCATGAAAACATCTTGAGGAGCCTGATCCACAGAGCTTTAACCCAGTTCTCTCCAGAGGTAAGGGTGGGCTCGGTCCGACTTCATATTATTGTCTATATTTTAGAACTGAGATATCAGCTATATATAATAGACTAACTTAAAAAGCAGAAATATCAATATTTTGATTACAGTGATTTGATTATAATCAGGCTGTAGGTATTTCATTTTACAGCAGTGGAAATACTAAGCTTTCATTATGATAATTCTGTGGAATTTAGAAAGATCCATTCCCCAAGGACCTGTGAATCTCTTCAACAAATGTTAGAGCAGGCCTCTGAACTCTAAAACCTGAAACCCACCAAGTCTTCACATGTACTTATGATGCCTTTAATGGAATTTCACTGATGGAGAATAGCTCTTCAAAACTTCTTGTTGTAGGACCAGAAGATGACAAAGGTATTTTTTTGTTTGAACTCCTGGGAAGCTGTATGCAAAAATGTTCATGACTCAGACTGGAATTTCTCAGCCCTTTCCCAGTCCTGTCAACAAAGAAGAAGTGGGCTGGAGGTCTCACTTCTTCAACTTGTAATAACCTCTCTCATTTAGAAAATACACTTTGCAGCAGATTTTGTGTATTTTAATGATTTCTGGTTTGTCTGTGCTCTATTTTCCTATCACACAAACTAAGAGATATTCCTTTGGATTTTTAAGTTTTTGACAAAACTAAACCTTGGGGTGCACTGACAGACACATACAACTGATAAGTCCTGAAAGATGAAACCTGAGCACATTTTCTCAAGGAGGACATCATCAGATGCACAGAATGCTCTGTTCCCATGGTCCTGGAATCCCAGTTACTCGATACACGACCCCCTATTTAAAAGCAAGTGTTCCCAGTAAAAGAAAATACATACATCCAGTTAACCTACCCTTCTGCAGGCATCTGCCTCGTCTTTTCTACTTGCAGATACATGCGTTTTCTGGAGGTAAAAGAAAGAGTTAAAAGAAAAACAGCCTAATCTCCACTCACACATTTGTCAACTTCCCCAAAATAGCTGCAGAATTTAAGCATAGTATGCCATTTTCCTCCCTGACAGGTTAATCCGTTTATTATTCATCCGTTTAATGAAAATACCATGTCTCCATGCTAAGAACAAAACAAAACCTCCAACAACACTGGTTCTCTTTAAATCATATTAATAATCTTGCAAGATTTGATTTGTCTTTGAATTCAGCTGCATTTTTAATCCAAGTTAGAAGCAGGAAACCTATTTCTTCAGCTTTCATATTGCTGCCTCTAGCCACATTTATGGAATGTTTTCTGCAAAATTATCAGCATTTCATTACCTGCTTCTGCAACAGCCATGTATCTACTGTGAAAAGGTCACGCAAAAGTTAATGAACCTCATGCTTAGCCAAGCTGCTCTTCTCCGGTGGGACAGAAATTTTCATGAAACTCTGCAAGGCTCATCTTGCAAAGTTTCCTAAATATGCTCTAAAAAAAAGAATTGTTACTAAGTCATGGAGCAAATCTCTCTCCTTTTCACAGCAAATCCATTAAGCTTTCTGCAAAAACATGGGGGTTGAATTCTCAATGGCATTACTTCTAAAGAGAAGCTACAGCAGTGTTTTGAACCAGTCATAGAACTATTATGACCATGTAGCTATACAGAACAATCATGCTCCTTTTCGGGATTTAATTCTTCTGCAGGATTACCTGTCTTGCCTGGAAGCACCACTTTTAATACAAAACAGGTGGGTTTTTTTACAGATTAACCATATTAGAAAACTGGATTCATGATCCATTCAGGTAGTATGCCTAGATCTTTCTCTCCCTCAGGCATTTCCTCATGATAACTGCTTCAGGTACAGTAGAATTTAATAATATTTCATTTTGAACTAATGAATGCCATCTCCTTTTACTCCAGTCATCATTTCCATTCTGTATCTCAGCCTTTTCCTGTATGAACAGTGTTGCCCAACTCCAGCCACCCAGCATGGGTCCCTGTTTCAAAGAAAGCATTAATGAAGGGAAGAAATAGGAATGGCCCCATGAACAATATTTTATTATCTCTCTGGTACCTCTTTCTCCTGCACTGATAACTGTTGCCATGGTCTCTGCCTTCCAGTTCCTTCAGGTAGCCTTTACTCCAGCAGCTTTCATTTCAAGACCATACCAAAAGTTTGCTTTTGTCAATGGGTGATATTAGAATCTATTCTTTATGAGCCTCTTTTATTATACCTTTCTAAACTTTCTGAGGTCCCAATACCAGAGAAAAACCTGTGGCCATTTATTGCACATTTAGTTGGAGATCACAACACTCTGAAACATCTTTGTGGAGCCTGACACTGTCTCAAAAATGAAACACTGCTGTGACTTAGATTTTGAATCCGATCTACTGCTTGGACAGAATATGTGCTTGAAAAAATTGCTGGGAAAAACAGACAATGACAGGATGATGAGGATGAGGATGAGGATTATTAAATTTTTGAAGACAATTTCTTGTACCAAGGGTGACATTTAAAAGGAAAATACAGAATTAAGAAGAAAAAATAAAGCATAGAAGTCAAAGACAGTTGTTTTGGGATAGTTCTGCTTTGCATTACAGGCAAATTGCTCCAATAAGAAGAAGGATGTTTTGTCTTTTACTCTCAGAGGAAATGATTACAGCACTAAATGTCTGTAAGCAACTACAAATAGAACAAGACTTGAGTTTAAGGACTGTTAACTCAACTGAATGCAAATTCAGCTACACTCTGCAGAGTCTGGATTTCATTCACTAATAACCAGAGCTCCTAGTTCAAGTCAACTGTGATTTCCACCTGCATCAGCCACTGAGTTCAAACAATGTCATCTGCAAAAGAGACTATGCTGTCTAATGCTTTCAGCTCATAATTAGGAGCTGGTGTTTCCCAGCTCTAGATGAGGTTATGGAATTGAACAAAAGATATGTTTGATAAAAAGCCAGATTAGCAGCAAGGGAAAATGTAATAGGACTAGATAGATAGATAGATATTTTTTTAAAGAGGGAGGATGGAGAAAGCCAAGTTAAGTTTGTAGAAGTTGTAAAAGCTTCTGGTGACCACTAGAAAAAGAGTAGGCAAATCCAGAATATCTATAGGTCAAAAAAATCCATGGTGTTTCTCACTGGCCCAGAGATGGTACCCTTGTCTATTATATGTCCTGTCAGTGCACCTCTCAGTTATTGGTTATTTTGGATCGTAATAAAAAAAAAAAAAAAAAAGCCTTTCTCTATCTTTTTGAAATGTCCAGATTTCAGCCTAATACAAAACAAGAAATTAATTTTTAGTGGAAAAATGGTTCCTTCTCCAGCTGCATTACCAAATCCCAATCTCAGCTCTCATGGAGGCCTCCCTGGGGCTTCAGTCAGGGTCACCTATTTCATGGTTTTCCCAACAGCAGTATAAGATAACAGCTCACAGAGCGACTGAAGGTTGTGTTGTCTGAAGCACAGTTTGGAAATGGCTAGCACTTGCTGACATGTTAGGGCCAGGACTCATAGAGGCACAATAGGGCTTGGCCAGGGTCAAGGCTTGAGGTATTGCAGAGGTCTGTGTGCATGACCATAACAACTCAGGCTGGAAGGGACCTCCAGCAGGCTCCAGACCAACCTCCTTATCAAAGCTGGGTCAGCTGTGAGATCAGACTAGGTTGCTCAGGGATTCAGCTGCTTGGGTCTTGAAAAACCTCCAAGGACAGAGACTGTAGAATCTCTCTAGCCAAAATGAGTATTTAAAACATCTGTTGTTGAAGTGCTGCCTCAGAACAGCAGTTATGCCAGGGCTGAATATCCCACTGGTTTTAAGTCAGCAACCCTTCCTACTTATCTGTCTTGACAGGAGTCGTCACCATGGCATCCAAGCACCTGAAACAACTACCTAAGGAACAATACTGAAATTGCAAGGCAGCTCCCAGCCCAGCTATGAGAATTCAAGGACAACACAATACCCAGTGCATTTGCAGGCTGCCAAGGGCTAACAGGATGCTCTTACTTCTCTCTAAACATGGGTGACCCCTCTCCTGCATGAAACCTCCAGCTGCCTGTCTGTGGTGAAAGCCAGCAGTGCTTCCCAGGCTGCCAGCAGATGCTCATTCATGGTCACAAGCAGCACAGAGATACACCCAAGTGTAGGTGGAACAGTCAGCCAGGTCATAAACAAAGCAGGTGAGGTTTTAAAAAAAGCAACTTTCTTTGAGAAGTTACTCTAGAAAATGTCATGATCTGCACTTTTTCCTTATCTGCTGCTGTAACTACAAACTGCATAAAGCTCTCACCATATGTCTTTAACTGAACAAAAATAATGTTTCATATTCTGCTTTTGACCACCAGACAGAACAAATCTGTGCAGGTTCATTTGTTCGGGTGGACTGCATGCCCTCAGTAATTATTTAACTTAACTGTAACTTAATTTCCTAATAATCCTCATCAAATTTCCTCAAGCTGCCAGAACACAGACTGTATTTAAATAGCAAATTCTAGGTATTAATAGTCCAGAGCAAATGGCAGTTAAACAATGAAAAACCTATTTTTTCTTGACACTGCCAATAGACAAGCAATTGTGCTATTTTAGCTTGCTTATGTGTCTCAAAAAGAAAGGCTAAGACCAAAATACCTGTTGTGAAAAGACTTATACATATATCTCTCTCAATTTTAAAGAGAAATTCAAATATTCCACAAATCTATGGCAAAAAAAAATCGTATTCATGCATTTTCATATGAAACTATGACTGCTGTAACATTTTGGTATGCAAAAGAGTCTCAGAATGGGGCAGGGAGAGGGAATGTCAGTATTGAAAGAACCTTAGAGCTGCTTTGCAGCACTGCACTTACACAGCAGAGAGCTCAAGGACTTGCTGACCTTGGGTACAGTTACTGGCCAATTGTTCCTCAAGGAAAGGACATTACATTGCTTGGACCTAATAAGTGAAGCAAACACTTAACAACAGGCATGGAAAATACCTGCTTCTTTTTTTCTCGTTCCATTACCTGTTTACAAGATTAATTTAAAATATTAATAAGTACCATTAAGTCTGGATGTTTGAACGTGAAGTTTATGAGGTCTGAGTGCTGGCATATTAATTAATGTCTGTGGTTTACAGCAAAAGACACGACATACACAACTTGATTTATACAGCTGAGTTTTGAATTGTGGGAGTTTCTTTCTGTAATTGAGAGTTGGGAATGGGAAAGGAACAACTATGACTTATAAAGCAACAGGCTTTCTAAGTTCTGCTTTTAGAAATACTTTGATGACTAAGTAAGCGTTCAAATGTTAAGAGAGATTTGGAAAGAGATGTCGCCCGGCTGCCAGTCAGAAGGCGAGGCGCAGAGCAGAGGCAGCTCTTTGAACACAGGGCTGATGCTGTGGGGGCACAACTTCCCCAAAGTTCGCACAGAAAGTAGAGATTGCCACCTCCTGGCCGAAGCCAGGGCAGCGCCGGGGACTCCCAGAAACAGCCAGGCTCGGTCGAAATTATGTATGGGGATCTTATAAATGCTTCAATCACAAGCTTCAAACCAGAGCACCTAAATACCAAAGCTAATCAGTGATGGATAATCTGGAGGAAATCAGAGCAGTGTCTCATACTTCAACAGGGAGACCAGGCAGCATTATATTGTGCTGCTAATTCCTTTCCATACTGTCAAGAGAGAATAAATACTCAAGGAAATACTTGCTTTGTTTTCTTTCTGAAACAACACCGTCCATTCCAACAAGACATGCATTGTGCACACTACTAGAAACGTAAAAATAAAAAACCTGAAATATAAATTTTGGTATTCTCTTTTCTATTTTCCTTTTTTTTTTTTTTTTTAATCCCCAGTTTTGGATTTTTTCATTCGGAGTTGAATTGAAAGCAAAATGTCACATTTTTCCAAGCTGAAAATGCAGCCTAATGTGCTCAGGAGCAATCGCAAGAGGCCACTGGACACTGGACCTGGCCTCATTTGGCTGTGAGAACACAGTCAAACCACATAAAGAAAGTTAAAGCACATCTGGAGAGAGATTACTTTCGTATTGCCCCACAAGACCTTGTGTGGACTAGCACGATGTCATCAGCACCCAATCTCTCAGTGCAGGAACCATGCTGCATTCCCAGCTGTCCTAAGGAGTCCTTCCCTTTCTCCCACAACTCAGGAGCAGCTGGAGACCAGCCCTGCAGGAAGGGTCTGGGGGTGCTGTGTGGCCACAGCATCTCAGTGTGAGCCAGCAGGGTGCCCTGGCAGCCCCGAGGGCAAACCCCAGCCTGGGGCACATCAAACACAGCACAGCCAGCCGGGCAGAGCAGGTGACTGCCCTGCTGTGCTCAGGGCTGGGGTGGCCTCACCTGCAGTGCTGCCTGCTGAGCAATGTGAGAAGGGTGTGCAGGTCTCTGAATGCATCCCGAGGAGGGTAACAGAGCTGGTGGAAGGGCTGGAAGGAATGTCCTGTGAGGAGTGGCTGAGGACTCAGGGCTTGTCTGGTTTGAAGAAAAGGACACTGAGGGGTGACCTCATTGCTCTCTGCAGCTTCCTGGGGAGGGGAGATGGAGAGGGAGTTGCTGATCTATTCTCCCTGGGATCCAGTGACAGGACATGTGGAATGGCTCAAAGCTGAGCCAGGGGAGGTTCAGACTGGACATTTGCCAGCATTTCTTTACCAAGAGGGTGACCAAACACTGGAACAGGCTTCCCAGAGTGCTAGTCAATGCCAGAAGCCTGTCAGGGTTTAAATGGCCTTTGGACTGTGCCCTAAACAACATGTTTAAAAACTTTTGTTCAGCCCTGAACTGGTAAGACAGTTGGAGAACAGGTTTTTTGTTGGTTCCTTCTAACTGCAATATTCTAGTCTAGTCTAGTCTGTTTTATTCAAAACTGTACATTAAGCAAAACCAGGAGTTCCCAAATTGTCAGAAAATAATTTATATTGTGAAAAATAGGTTGCTGCAATAATGCTCAAAGTGAAAAGAACTTTTCTGTGCCGGAGGCACAAGCATACATACTGAACCTGCTGGTCTCTCACTGCTAACTTGTATTCATGATTTCTAAGCAAGTTGCTTATTTTGTAAGTACATTATTTCCTACAGGTACGTACTGGCCATTCACTCAACTACTCTCTTGCACCCTCCTGCCCTATTTCCTAGCCAGCAGACTTATCACTCACTAAAGAAGCTGTTGATGTTTGTCTCAGAGTTGCCATTTTGGAGCAAGTGACACACAAATCCCAGACTGGTTCTTATATGTGTTGGTGATGAGGGCACAAGAATTCTGCCTGCTTTAGATTCTTGCCAAAATGTGTAAGTCACACACCAAAACAAAAAGTGATGTGTTTTAACTGTTAATATAGGGCTGAGGAAAGTTGGATGAGCTCAGTGGGTTACTGCCTATCTCTTCTTACAGAGAATGTGGGAACACTTTCCTCAACAACAAATTTAAGTTGTCTGGATATTGGAGGGAAAGTGCCCCTTTGTATAAATGTTGGAGAGTTTCTTTCACTTAAGACGAAGTTCAAATATATGCAGCTCTTGAGTTACACAGGTGTCCTCAATGGAAGACTTTGACACAGCATCTTGGAGAAAACTCAAGGAGAAAAATCTAACAGAACTGTCATCCTGCAAAAACAACCAAAAAGTGGAGACCATTGTTACAGACTGGAAGAAATGGAATTATATGGTCCTTGTTTAGGAAATAAAGACACTAGATTGAAAAAAAAATCAACAGAACTAAGCCTATACATCAGCAAAATAAATAAATATTGGCAATAAATAGACCTGCTTTTGGTAGAGAAAGTAGTATGCCTGAACTGTTAAAAGTTTGTTACTTTATGTCAAACTGCAGGAAATGTGAAAAGAGGGTTAAATGAGAAAGCACAAGGAAATAAACAATTGGAAAATTTTAATGAGTTTTGCAGTCCTTTAAAAAACATGAAAGACTGCTGGAGATTTACAAATGAACAAAGGCAAGATAGAAAAGGAAATCAGGTGCATGTTAGCGGAGATAAGAGCAGCATGCAGCCAAATAGCAAATACTTAACGAAAATTTTCACCTCATTATGTTGAAACCTCGAAGAGAAACTTTGCTCTTTTACACTATCACAATATGAAGGCTAAAAGTAAATTGTGCTTTGAGACTTTAAATAGATCATGACTCCCTAGCAATTTTAATTAGGATGCTTCTGTTTATACAAATGTGTCTTTGGGGAGCTCATATGAAGAATAGAATAAGCCTAGATGAATATATGGAATAATTTTGGTATCCATAACTTAACTTTCCTTTGCCCAGGAGCAAAAGGACCCAAAAATGAATAAAATTAATATTTTAAAATTACCAAAATTCCTGTTAATTTAATACACTATTTGCATTTTCCTAGCTTGCTCATATGCTAGTGCAAATAGCCATCTTAAATAGCACATCGAGCAGTATCTCAGCAGAATGTAATTGTGAGAAGCAAATTCCAGCTGCACTTAAACTGGAGTTTAAAAAGATGGGGGGGTGGAGAGAGAAAAATGGAGAAGGAAGGAAGGAAGGAAGGAAGGAAGGAAGGAAGGAAGGAAGGAA